CCCCTTTTCAAAAATTCCCCAAAAGTTAAAAAACAAAACAACCCAGCAGCCAAATACTATGACAACCCAATTAGTAAACACAAAACAAGAACGCTTTACAAAAATGAATAAAATATACCATATGCACTCAGCTTCCACACTGTAGTACCCAAGTGAGGAGGCTGCTGTGACGATGTCTGTAGGCAGTTTCTTTTGGCAGACAGCTCCAGCAGAATTGCCACTCTCAATGATTATGTATAAGACATGTGTGACCCATTGGATATTTGTGAAGTGACACTCGTGCTTCTGCTCATGCCCTGCTCCGTCCGTCCCCCAGAAGCTGTCCGCCTTAGAGCCTGGGGGCTATTGCGGACTCCCATACTGCTACCGCGAGGTACCCCTTGCATTGGCCCCGAGGGGTGACCCCATGGCTGGGGTCCACCTTGCATTGGATGGCCCCAAGCTTGTTGTGGGCCACCCATGGGATGACCCCAGTGAGATCCTGGACCCCCAGTAGGATTGTGAGACCAACCAGAAGCTCCCGGATAGCTGTGGCTGAATGCCTCAGGGGAGAGATTAGAAAGGACCATGTTACTAAAACCTAGTCTCATGCTTTCAGAGTCAAAAGCTTCAATCTCTCTGGCTTGACGCTCCAGCAGGCTTCGTATTCGTTCTGTACGTTCATTCTGCAAAGCCAACATCTCTTCTTCAATCTGGTGAGGGGTGGGAGAGGGAAGCAAAAAGAAAACTGATTTATATTTTAAAAATCTGTAAACTAAGGAGGCAATATTAACTCAGCTTTGAAGTGAGTTATTAAAAAAAAATCACTCTGGCTATTTTACTAATGTATATTTAAAAATCAAAGAGAGGTACTGTAGGAATCATACATAAGTTATATTTCTGAAGTTTGTAAACTCCAGTTTTTAACAGCAAAGGCAATAACCTCTACTGAAATAATAAATCAAGGCAATGATCATCAATGGCCGCTAAATCCATTAGGTAAGAAGTGGATGGAGAACTTTTTTTATGGGTGATCAGATTGATAATACCTGAACCCACTGATCAATAATAATATTACTTACAAGTGTGACTAGACATTATACATCTCTTGATATGATGCAAAAGGAAGTACACAGTAACCCCTAGTAATGGTCTTGCAAGATTTTTTTTAAAAAAGAAATTAAAAAACTGAACCTAAATATAACCAGATATAACTCCAGTTCATAGGAACGTGAAGAGGAGGAAAGAGGAATATGTTAAATGACACCATGAGGATGCAATCAGCTAAATTAAGATTGTGGGAAATTCTACAGGGCAAATGATACAATTTCTTCCACAATAAACAAATGCAGGGGCGGGGGGGGGGGATTAAAAGGCTTAAAAGATAATTAACCAAATGCAATGTTTGGGGCTTGTTTGGACCCCAATCCAAATAAACCAAGTGTAAAGAAGACATTTTTGAGATTAGCAGGGGAAATTAACACATGGACTGAGTATTAGGTTGCTGTTAGGTGCCTTCGAGAAGATTCTGACTCACAGCAACCCCATGTGACAGAGCTGAACTGCTTCATATGGTTTTCTTCGCTGTAATCTTTACGAAGCAGATTGCCAGGTCTTTCTCCTGTGGAGCCACTGGGTGGGTTCGAACCGCCAACCTTTTAGTTAGCAGCTGAGTGTTTAACCGTTGTGCTACCAGCGTTCCTCGAGTATAAGGTAATATTAAGTAAATTATGATAAATTTTTTCAGGTATCACAATGGAATTTGTGGTTATGTTGAAGACAAAATGTTCTTATCTGTATGTAGGGGTGAAATGATTGCTTTAAAATACTCCAGAAATAAATAAGGTGTATGGGAGAGTGGAGAGTACACGAGAAAGATTTGGTAAAATATTGATAGCTGTTGAAGCTGGGTGATGAGTACTTGCGGATTTCATTTTACTATTCTTCCTACTTTTGTGCATGTTTGAAAATTTCCATGATAAAAAGTTAGAAAAACAAGAATGAAGAGAATTTGTAAAGGAACATCAAATGATTTAAGTTTCAAGATACTCGAGAACCTAAATGGTCACTGCTCTCTGCAGAAACTTAGTCCAACAAATACGTTCAGTTTTTATTTATCACATTTTTTAAAGTGCCCTTTAAAAAGCACATATTTTAGTATGAGGCACATGCAATTTTAAAAACGCAAGAGAGCATGTTAAGATGTAGTAACAGATTTATGAGGTATAGCAGAAATACAAAGGGATGGAGTGGCAATGAAGTCTTTCACAGGGTTGGCATAAAGGCCAGATTCTGAAGGACAAATAGAAGTTTAGCAGAAAAACAGGGTAAGGAAAGACATTTTCAGCAGAGAGAACATATGCAAAGGCATAGAGAAATGATTAAAATAAGTGTTTGGGGAACTATAAATAGGTCAGAATAGACTCCCATAGGAGTTTGAAAATTATTGCTCTAAGTACTAAAATATTATAAAAGGGATTTAGAGAGGGCATTTTATGTGAAGGCTGAAGGAGGACTTTTAGATTAGACAGGAATGCTTTTTCTGAGGGAAAGACATAAAATGGTTAACTCTGGTGATTTCTGAGCAGTGGGATTAAAGACAAATTTTAATTTCTATTTATGTTTCTCTATATTTTCTAATTAAAAAAAAATCTAATGACTGTGTACTTTAAAAATAATTTTCCCCACTCTTTTAATGTGTTGCTCTTGTTAGCTGCTGTCAAGTTGACCCCCGATTCATGGTGACCCCAAGCACAATGGAAGGAAACACTGCCCAGTCCTCAGCCATTCCCGTGATCGGTTGGGGATCAGACTGTTGTGACCCACACGGTTTTCACTGGCTGATTTTTGGAAGTAGATTGCCAGGCCTTTCTTCCTAGTTTTTCTTAGTCTGGAAAGCTCCACTGAAACCTGTTCAGCATCATAGCAACAGGCAAGCCTCCACTGACAGATGAGCAGTGGCTGAGCTTGAGGTATAACTGGCTGAGAATTGAATGCAGGGGTCTCCCACATGAAAGGCAAGAATTAATCACTACTATACTATATATGCAAAGCCTTGGTGATGCAGTGGTTAAGCATTCACCTACTAACCAAAAAGGCTGGTAGTCCGAATCCACCAGTCGTTCCTTGGAGACCCTACGGGCGGTTCTACTCTGTCCTATAGAGTTGCTATGAGTTGGAATTGTCCCAACGGCACGGGGCTTGGTTTGGTTATACTATATATAAGGAGCCCTGGTGGGACAGTGGTTAAGTGCTTAGCTGTTAACCAAAAGATCAGTGGTTTGAACCCACCACAGGCTCTGTAGGAGAAAGATTTGGCAGTCTACCTTCGGAAAGATTATAGCCTTAGAAACCCCCGGGGCAGTTTTACTCTGTCCTATAGGGTTGCCCTGAGTCAGAATTGACTTGATGGCAACAGGTTTGTTTTTTTTTTCTTTACCATATATAAAATAACCAATTAATAAAGACTTATATTTACATATCTCTAAGGATTCAAAGAACTTTAAATTTTTTCTTTTAAATACTTCACATGTAAAAATTTCAAAAATTCATTCACTGAAAAGATTCATTTTAATTCAAGGGATCTAATAAATGATGGGAATGCTCTGAGCATTAACTGATGTCAATGCCCTGCATATTATCTGTGGGGAACTCATGTTTAAAAAAATGAAACACTTTAATGCTTGTCAACATTTTATATAATAAGCACTGCTTCAATTTTGCTTGCAGATTAGTTTTGTCATACAAACTGAGCACACTTTTCAATTAAACACAAATCAAAACTAAGATCTGTGATAGGTGACATCCATCCTCATTTCTTTTAAAACATGTTATTTATTACTGCAAATTAGAAAGATGGTTTCACTGGGTAGATAAGAGTCACCACAATTAAGACTTTTGAGAGGCTCTTCCAATCTATCTTCTGTGAAACCAAATGTGATTTTTCTGTGTGTGTGAATATTTTCAGATCCACAGAAAAAGGTCTTGTAAGATGTTCTGACTGTTAATTCTTACTTGAAAAAAAAAGCAACCAGGATGCTGATACTAGTAAAAAACTGAGAGAAAATTAAATGAGAAGAGGAAACAAAGCCCATTTATACTTTGAAAATACTACCACTTTTCATGCATGTGTAACATTCACATGGAATTCAAGATTTATAGTTATGTTGTCATCTAGCTGAAAATGTAATGTAAATGAGGGATGAGAACAGTTGAAACAAGACCTCATGTACACATGAGGCTTACTTTTTTCCTATCTCAACCTAAAGGAATAATTCTTGGTTCATTTGGAGGCTAAAGCAGTATTTACATAGAATGATTATTCATCTGGAAACAACTACCATTCACTCTGGTTCTACCTCTATTTATTTTTCAGATGACTGTTTCTTATCTGTACAACCAGCAAGCACAAAGTACAGAAAACAGAGGTGTTATGATCACTCAAAGTTTTTGCAGAGAGGGGACATGGCCTTGGTGGTTGCCAACCAACCCCAGATTGCCTTGTAGTCATGCACTTCCCTTGAAAAGTAAACAGTAGCCCTAGAAATCTAGTAACATTTCAAGGCAGTTTAGATTTATCACCCTGTTGTTCTTTTAAGGAGCCCTGGTGGTGTAGTGGTTAAAGCGCTTGGCTGCTAACTGAAAGGTCAGCAGTTCGAACCCACCAGCCGCCCCATGGGAGAAAGATGTGGTAGTCAGCTTCCGTAAAGATCACAGCCTTGGAAACCCTACGGAGCAGTTCCACTTTGTCCTATAAGGACTCTGTGAGTTAGAAATTGACTCGATGGCAACGGGTTTTTGTTGTTCTTTTATTATCTTTAATACTAAATAATCTTACGCATTTTTCTGTTATAAAAGCAATGTAAATCACATTACAAAAAAGAATGGAAAAAGGAACCAATCTACCTATTACTAGAGCTACTACCGGCATTACTTCAATTCATTTTAAGTGTAATTTTTAAGTGTTATAGATATAAATCTTGTATATTCAACACACCATAAACATTTTTCCATATTAATACTGTCTTTGTAGACTTCATTTAAATGGCTGAATAAGATTTTATTAAGTGGCTTGGCCATAATTTACTTAATTATACCCCTATTTTAGATGGTTAGGTTGTTTTAGACTATTATAAAATACGCTATAATTAACATATTTATACATATTGTTTTTCCTATATTTTGCATTTCTTTCCCTTGGATTTCCTTGGTTCAGTATATACTTCTAAACTGATTTCCAAAAGCATTTGCAATTTATGAGAGTAACACTGCACCTTCACCAATAGGTATTGGTTTTATGCCTGTATTTTATCAGGCTTTGTATAGTATGTAGGGCTTGGATCATAACTAAGATGGTACCTAAGATGCTAATTTTTGTTGTTGTTGTCAGGTACCATCAAGTCGGTTCTGACTCATAGTGACCCTACATACAACAGAATGAAACACTGCCTAGTCCTGCACCATCCTCACAATCCTTGCTATGTTTGAGCCCATTGTTGCAGACACTGTGTCAGTTCATCTTGTTGAGGGTCTTCCTCTTTTTCACTGACCCTTTACTTTACCAAGCATGATGTCCTTCTCCAGGTACTGGTCCCTCTTGATAACGTCCAAAGTACATGAGATGAAGTCTCGCCATCCTTGCTTTTTAGGAGCATTCTGGTTGTACTTCTTCTAACACAGATTTCTTCATTCTTCCGGCAGTCCATGGTATAGATGCTACTTACCACTAGTATTATTATAATTACATATGTAATATTATTATTATAATTACTAGATGTTAATTGGCATGGTATAAAATATTAATTGTTGTTGTTGTTAGGTGCTGTTGAGTCAGTTCCGACTCATAGTGACCCTATAGGACAGAGAACTGCCCCATACGGTTTCCAAACTCGTTGCTGTCCAGTTTATTCCAACTCATAGTTACTCTACAGGACAGAGCAGAACTGCTCCAGAGAGTTTCCAAGTCTGTAATCTTTACAGAAGCAGACTGCCACATCTTTCTCCCATGGAGCGGCTGGTGGGTTTGAACCACCAACCTTTAGTTAGCAGCCAAGTACTTAACCACTGCCTGAAACAGTATAGGGAGTTTTCCTTCTAATGATAACTTTTAAGCATTGACAGAAAAGCTTAGACTGAATTTCAAGTACGATAGAAAGTTGGAGTCACACAGATTCATGAAATTTGTACATGGAACAAACTAGATTTTTCAAAATTTATGTTTGTTTCTATCTTCCCATCTTGAATGAGAAACATAACTGAGATAATTTTAGAGGCAAATATTTCTCAGAGAAGCCAGTAATAAAGACAGCTGTGCCAGAGAAATAGTAACATCTTATTTAGGTGATTTTTGAAAAGGATATATTTTTTAATTTAATAGGGCATTCACTTTTTATCCCAAGAACTGTAGAAAATAGAGGAAAATTTATGGGCCTATGGTTCAGAAGCAGTGAAAACTTTTAATAGGCAAGGCCATCAAACAAGTATTAACTAACAATGCCCAACAGACCTAAGACTACATCAGCTTTTGGGAACTTACAGCTCAGGAATTCTGGAACATAGCTCTGAATCTCAGATACAAGCAATACGTCAGCACTTCTCAGCACAAATACCTCTCCTTTCTTTACTTCTAAAAATCTTCCGGGTTTTCTCAAAACACATACAGACTTGCACATGCGCGCGCACACACGCACACACACCCACACACACACACACCCCTATGTATCATTGGTAACCCCATAGGATGAAAAATAAATTTGGGGATGCTAGTTCTATTCTTGAATATATCTGACAGAGAGTAAGAAAAATAAAATAAAGATGCAACTAGAAGCAACATTTTTCAGCCTGACTTTTCGCCTGTGCAGGAACTGGTTGTACCTTCTGTCCCCCAGTAATCTTCCACCAATCTGTATAGCACCAGGCCAGGATGTATGAGTGAAATATATATTCCTGATCCTTTGTCCCTGCCTCTCCCAGGCAATTACTGCAGTTCTTTTTCTTCACTATCCAAGTCTTTCTCCAACCTCCTTAGGTAGAGCTGGGCACACAAAAGAAGTGAGGAACATAGAGCCAGAGCTACTCTCTCACAATTCAACTGACCATCTTCATATAACCTCATATTCTCTCTAGCAATTACCACTTAATTATATTCCCTTGATTTTTAGAACCCACTAATTATAAGGTTCATTATTGAAGCAATAATTGTAAAGAAAAAAACAGAAAAAACCACTACCACAACTAGCATTCAGGAAATATGGTATTGTGAAAGCAATCTGATGTAATGTCTCCATATGAAAGTATATTTACAAATGCTTTTGATGAAAGGAAATACTAGAATAATTATCTTCTTTCTATTACTTATACCTTTTGTTCTAGGAGTGCCCTACGGAGGGAGACCCTCTGTTCAAGTTCCCGAAGCTCTCGATCATGTTGTGCCTCAGCCTGCATCTTGATTTTGCTTTGATATGCGTTCAACAGCTCCAGTTCCTGCTGCAACTGCATCTTCAGAACCTGGCACTCTGCTTCCTGTGCTTCATCCAAACGCAGCTGAGAGAGAGAGAGAAAGAATAGCTATATCCTACTGTGAGCTATACATAACCTATGGAAAGGAGGAGTTGTGATAGAAGACAGGGTATTCTCTTGTAGGTTACACAACCGCTTAGTAATTTAGTGAACATTTCTGAAAAGGAAGGCACAGTAACCAATGATGGCATTATGAAGATAAAGCTATCTATCCTAAGTTATTTGGAGGGTGCCTGATTAACCATATTTCTTTTAAGAAAAATCTAGCATCTGATTAGGTGATATAAAACTCTGAATGTCTCCTTCCCCAGGGGAAATACTACAGAACAGAGACTAGCAAACTATAGCCTATAGGCCCAATCTGGCCAGTCAATAGGTTTTTTTTTTTTTTTTAATGACCCGTTAGTCAAGAATGGTTTTTACATTTCAAAATGATTACATTATCAATAGTTATATAAATATCCACATAATAATCAATCCTCAATTTTGTCTCCTGGCCTGCCTTCAAAACCTAAAATATTTACTGCCTGGCCCCTGAAAACCCCTTATATAAAATATATTTTGTACTACACTCAAATGTGATCACCTGGACTCCCAATATAGTGCTTACTTTTTGCCCACTACTTAACAATGCTGCTGCTCTAATCTTGATAAGCTGTTGGGATCTGTTTTAAAAACCTCAGAGGCACTGGCAGGGAGCCTGTTTAGAACCTCATGTCTAAATGTTTCAAGGAGAATTCCATATGTATCACACCATTTCCAAGCAATGCTGAGAGCAGGAAGAATATGGACTACCATCACTATTTCCCAAGCTGTGGGACAGCTACCATTTCCAGCTAGTATTTTAATTGTTAGGATTTTATTTGAGTAGTAGAAGGAAAAAGGAATACTAAATTTGTTTAGCCTAAATAAAGCAAACTTACAGCTTGTGTGGAGAGCATTTCGTTAATGCTGTGATCATACTGTTCAGCCAAGATGGCTAACTTCCGGGTCTGCTCCTCCTTGAGCCGTTTCAGAACAGCTTTGTGCTCACTCTTTGGTGTAGTCTCCAGTAGGTGGTTTCTTAATGCTTTGTACTGTCTGGTTTGGATTTTGCAGGTATCCTGAAACTGTTTTTTGATTTGGAGCTCCTTAGACTGGGAAGAAAAAGAGATGTATGTATTTTTTAACATACGGCATTTGATATACTTTATGCTTACATAAAAGTAAAGGCTATTAAGAAAAAGACAGAGAAAAAACAAAAGGTCAGAGTATAAGGCTCCAGGTACTTTTACACTTGGCCATTGGGCAAAACCACTGGATTCTATGCATTTTTACAACAAATACTAATATTAGAACATAAAAAATCCATTTATCACAGGACTTCAAGCAATATTCATTATTTCAATAGTGAACTTAGAGACTTGAGTAAAGAATTAAAATTAACTCTGATTACTATGTATGCTCATGACAGAAAACTAAATTTCTCATGAATTTAGTGTAGTAGATATAAAAGCATTTTATTGGCCAGACAATATTTTACCAGATCTCCAATTGAGGTAGAAAACAAGCATATTCATTGCTTCTTATCTGAGACATTAAGCTCCAATTACTTTTAAAAACAATCTCAACTCCAACTATATAGTCTATGATAGACCTGGCAAAAGTGGGGTCTATGTACCAAACTAGAAGCTGACTTGAAGTCTCTAATAGTAACTGATAAATATTATTATTACAATTGTCTTTTCCCTTAATGGAATAAATTAGGTGGGAACATACTTAGTAACAGCTTACTCTTTAATAGCATGTGTAAAAACTTGAAGGCTACGGGCACTAATATTTCAGAGGTCAAAAAAAAGTAATGATGTAGGGGTGGGGGCAGTCCTCTTCTTGAAGTCATGACAATAGACATGAACTACATAAACATTTCTGAAATAAAATAACCTGAGCTCAAAGACAGAAGAGCTTTGTCTTTAGCTTTTGGTTATTCATCAGGTTAGGTATTCTGTGAATTCAGGTTTTAGAAAAACTTAATGAGATGAGATTTATTTCTATAAGGTATATTGATGGAGACTGCAAGGGAGAATATATTTGCTTACTACACAAATGGAGAACCAACAGCTGAAATTATTTCACCTTAATATAGCCAGATACTGGCTGACCCCATGGGCAAAAAATGCATGTATGACCACAGTTATGTATTTGTCAAGTTTTTTTTTTTTTTTTATTTTCTGTACTACAACATCAACTATGCTCTTTCCAAGTTTTTCACCAGCTGGGGCACTATATCATAGTCCTAAAACTTTATTCTGTGAAGGGTCAAGAAATGTGTAGACAGAAGGAGAAACTCTTGGTTTAGCTATACCTAGAAGTACTCCTCAATACTGAGCTTGGTTAACAAAGTTCTTCCAAGTGCTTCTAGCCAGGAATGGAACAAGTGAAACGTAGACATTCTTTTCTACCTCCATTCTTTTAAGTTTTTGTTTTTAAAACACTGTGCCAAGAAAACTGTAATCATTCCATATCACTGGCCTAATGAGAAAAAAGAACTCCTTCAAGAACTTTTCTTCAACAAGAAAGAAGAGCAAGATTAATGCTTACACCAAAGTACATATATATCCCTCAGTGTTTGACTCAAGTGAAAGCAAGATGAATGTAAGTTAAGTTATTTCTACTCATTAACACTGATAAAGTATCATCTCTATGGCAGCTGGAGAAACTGCAGAATAGGCAGTAGATTTTTACCCAATCCATTCCATAGAATTAGTACCCCTCCCCACAAATCCTAGTCAATTTGTATAAGTGCTAAAGCTGACCCACTGCCATCAAGTAGATTCCAACTCATAGTGACCTTGTAGGACACAGGAGAACTGCCCCATAGGGTTTCCAAGGTGGTAAATCTTACGGAAGCAGAATGCCACAACTTCCTCCCACAGAGCGGCTGGTGGATTCAACTGCCGATCTTTCGGTTAGCAGCTGAGTGCTTCAACCCCTGTGCCACCAGGGCTCCTTGCTCAAACTGAAGTCCACCCGATAACCTTTTAAAGTCTTAGAGGAGGTCTGAAGAGGTAATTATTACTTAAATAGAAATGGGATGACCTGGTGTTAAAATCTAGTCTGTTCAGTTCAAATCAAGCGAAGTATATAGATACGTCACTAAGAAGAAACTGATTTTCTTCCCTATTAAAGTAACAGAACAAGTCCCTTTATAGAAAACCTTAAGCTTGTTTGTTATCAGACGGAAGCATTCTATCCAAAGTCTTTGACTGTGAAAAATTACTTTTCTCCTTACTTTCTGTGTAGTATCTTTGAAAATCAGACTAGCGTTTAAAAGCTGTCAACAACAGGAAACAGAAAGGAAGGGTTAAATGTCAACTATCCTTCACCAAACCCCAGGAAAAATGAAAATTCTAACAATTGGTGGGTGTCTGATCTGTAGACAAACAATTATATAGCTCTCCTTGGCAATGACAAAATAAATCTGAAAAATCATTATGAATTCCAATTTTTCTTTTTTTTTTTGTAAGCAATATTTTATTGAGATTTTGGTGAAAGTTTATAAAGCAAGTTAGGTTCCCATCTGACTAATTTCCACATAAATTGTTCAGTGACATTAGTTAACATTTATCACAATATGTCAACATTCTCTTTAATCGTGTCTGTTTGTTCCCTTTCTAGTTGCCCTGCCCCCTTATCTTCTCATGTTTGATTTTGAGTAATTGTTGACCTTTTGGTCTCTATACTGATGGTTTTAAGTAGGGCATTTTACAGGTAATATCCTTTATTTTGGGTGCTATTCTGCTATTTCGCTAAAAAGTGATCTCAGCGGATAGGCTTCATTCTAGGTTTAAAGAGTGTCTCAGGGCAATAGTAGTCATCCTCCATGGTGTGATCTGATGTGATCAGCCAATCAGTTGGAAGGGGTATTTCCTCTAGTGTATGACCTGCATCCAGTACATATATGGATGTTCTGGCAAAGCTCAATTGCTTGCTCTGGATCCTGCATCCGGTTCTTGGTACTTGAGCCAGCTGCCTGCCGATCTTGGGATTTGCTGGCCTCTGCAGCCTGTGAGCCAGTAGCCTGCCGATCTTGGGTTTGGCAACCCCTGCAGCAGAAGCCTCCAACTTGACACCTGACCCACAGAGACTTGGGACTTGCCAGCCTCTATAACCACATGAGTCATTTTCTTGAGATAAATCTCTCCATATATATATACACACTTCACTGGTTTTGCTTCTCTAGAGAACCCAACCTAAGACATTTAGGATAGACTCTTATTGGATAAGTCGTTTCTGAAGATTTTTTTCCCAGTCTGTAGGCTGTATTTTTATAAAGTCTTTGATGAGCATAAGTTTTTAATTTTTATGAGGTCCCATATATCTATTTTGCTTCTCCTATTTGTGCATTTGTTGCAATGTTTACTATCTTTTTTTTTTTTTTTTTTTTTTACAAAATGATAGGTCCCATAGTTTTCTCCCAGGAATTTTATAATTTTACATTTAATGTTTAGGTCTTTGATCCATTTTGAGTTAGTTTTTCAGTATGGTGTGAGATATGGGTTCTGTTTCATTTTGCTGCAAGTGGGTATTCAGTTTTCCCAGCACCATTTATTAAAGAGACTTTTTCTTCCCCACTGAACGGACTTTTTGACACCTTGTCGAAAATTAGTTGTTCACAGATGGCTGAGTTTAATTCTGAGTTCTCAATTCTATTCCACTGGTCTATGTGTCTACCGTTAAACCAATATCAGGCTGTTTTGATTAGAGTGGCTGTATAGTATGTTTTAGATACCGGGGAGTGTGAGTGTGAAGTTGGTCATTAGTTTTTCCATTTCAGTAAAGAATGTTGTTGGGATTTGTATTGGGATTGCATTGTATCTGCAGATCGCTTTAGGCAGAATCGACACTTTCACTGTATTAAGTCTTCCAATTCACTAGCATGGGATGTCTTTCCATTTTTGTAGGTCTCTTTTAGTCTCTTGTAGTAACGTTTTATAAATTCAATTGTGTAAGTCTTTTATGTCCCTGATTAGCATAATTTCTAGGTATTTCATCAATTTGGGGGTTACTGTAAATGGCACCGTTTTCTTGATTTCTTTTTTGTAGTCTTTGTTAGTGCAGAGGAACCCAACTGATTCTTGTGTGTTGATCTTGTACCCCGCAACATCGCTAAATTCTTCAATTAGTTCCAGCAACCTTCTTGTGTAATTATTAGGGTCTTCTATGTATAGAACCATGTCATCTGTAAATAAAACATAGTTTTACTCCTTCCTCTCTGATCTGGATACCTTTTATTTCTCTTGTTTTATTGCACTGGCTAAGACTTCCAATACAATGATAAATGAGAGGGGCAATAATGGGCATCCTTGTCTCATTCCCATTCTCAAAGGGAAGGCTCTCAGCATTTCTCTGATAAGTATAATGTTGACTGCTGGTTTTGCATATATACTCTTAGTTATGCTGAGAAGTCTCCCTTCTATTCCTATTTTGCTGAGAGTTTTTATCAGGAAAGGGTGTTGAAATTTATTGAATGCCTTTTCTGCACCAACTGATATGATTATATGGTTCTTTCCCTTTGTTTTATTTATGGGATGGATTGCATTGATTGATTTTCTAATACTGAACCACACTTGCAATCCTGGTATGAATCCTACTTGACCATTGTGTATGATTTTTTTTTTTGACATGCTGTTGAAGTCTATCGGCTAGAATTTTGTTGAAAGTTTTTACATCTATGTTCATAAGGGATATTGGTCTGTAATTTTCTTTCTCTGTGATGTCTTTGCCTGGTTTAGGTATCAGGGTTACACTGGCTTCATAGAGTTTGGTAGTGTTCCTTCCTCGTCTACTTTTTTGAAGAGATTCAGTAGGATTGGCGTCAACTCTTCTCTGAGTGTTTGGTAGAACTCCCCAGTATAGCCATCTGGTCCTGGGCTTTTTGTTGTTTTGCTGGCAGTTTTTTGATGACATCTTCAATCTCTTCTTTTGTAATGGTCTGTTTAAATTTTCTTATTTTGTTTCTGTTAGTTTGGGTAGGTAGTGTGTTTCTAGGCATTTGTCCATTTCATCTAGGTTTTCAAATTTGTTGGAGTACAATTTTTCATGGTAATCAGTTATGATCTTCTTTATCTCTGTTGGACTGGTTGTAATGTCACCA